CATCAGGATCTGGGCTGTGACTAAATAAACTTTCAGGCTCAGAAAATGTCTCTACAGCTTCAGCAACAGCATAGGCATCCTCAAGACAAGCCACCTCCTTTGTTCTAACATTGTTTGAGGGAAATGGATAAGAATCCCTTAAGAACCCATTAAGTTTAGGAGGATTTGTGGTGGTGATATGGTGCTTTTTGGTATTCATTCTGATGCAGAGCTACACAGCCAGTTTAACTTCTCTACTGACAGTACAATAACTGTGACCAACGGCGATTGATGTGGCTTAACTGTTGAAGAAAGGAGAGAATGTTGGGTATCCTTCTGGCTCCTTTGTTGAGGGACTTGTGAGACAGTTGAGGTTCAATCCATATAAGAGGAAGAAACATAAGACCCTAGATGATCTCTATGAAATTTTTGCCAAGGGAAGCATCGTGGCTGCTTTTGATGAAATTCCCTACATGAAGCTGTTTCTTACACAATATTGCAACAAATACACCACTGCAGGACCAACTTTTAAAACTGATGGCTTGGGATTTGTAAGTACCATCTCTACATTTCTTTTTCACTCTCACAGCATCTGCATGGTTCTGATTAATTGGTGAATCTATAGGTGTTTCCAAGAGGTTCTCCTCTTGTGGCAGATCTCAACAGAGCAATCTTAAATATTATGGAAGGTGATAAAATAACTGAAATTGAGAATGCATGGTTTCAAAAGCAAACAAGTCGTCCTGATTCAGGCACCACAGTTTCTTCTAACAGTCTGAGTGTTGGGAGCTTCTGGGGCCTCTTCCACATTGCTGGATTGGCTGCACTGCTAGCACTTATCATCTTTGCAGCTAAGTTTCTATATAACCAAAGGGATGTGTTCCTTGATTCTAAAACTCCAGTGTGGGATAGAATTGTGAAATGTCAAGAAACTTCAACAAGATAGTCATGAGTTCACATCCCTTTAGGAAGAGTGAACTGACAGAGAGAAATGGGATTGACAGCATTCATTTGGTAGGTGCCACTGAAGCTTCACCGAGCACCAACTGCATGCCAAGTCCTTCAACCATCTCGAACCAGACAGATTCGAGGTTTGCTTTATTCGAAGAGCAGGAAGGACCTTCAACAGATCTTGAAGATATAAGCGGCACAATATCATCTCCTGAAATAAAAATTCAAACATGCTAACACAAATAAATCATAAAAAAGAAAGAAAAAAAAAAAGCAGTTGACATAAATATTCATTCCTGTAGCTCCAATGACAATAAAAATGTAAGCCCCCTGCATTTTTTAAGTTAACAAGATTATTTTTAGTCTAGATTTCATACTTTCTACATAAAGCTACTTTCCATCCACAGAGCTATATTGTGCTAACAGGATGGATTCAAAAAGATTAATCTTACATTCAGTTAGGCGTTTTTCGTTTTCTTAATCACCTTTCCAAGAGAAATTCCATGAAAATCAGAGAAATACAAATGTAGAATAACATGAGTCGATGACAAGGATCAAGAACTAACCGTAACGAAGAACAAATTGATCGGCGGGCTAAACTTAGGAATCGAAGTGAAGAGGTTGAAACCGGCAAGCTTGAAATTGATGAAGATCAGGAGAATCCAAGGAATAATTATGAATTATTGGTGAGAGTATTGTTGTTGATCTGAAATTCAAAGAAGTGAGATTAAAAGGCTGATCAACTATGGGGAAGCTCTTGACTAAGGTGAGTACTCTCTCGATGGCCTCTTCGTTCGTTAGATGATGATCGTGTGATGCAAAAACTGCAATGGTCCGATGGCAGTTAGGGTTCCGACAAGTGGCGGACGACGGCCACTCTCAGAATTTCCATATAAACCGATCCTAATCCATCTACAGAGAAAAATTAAGAAAATGGAAGGCCAAAGAACATTTATTTTGACCACAAGAATCAACAGCTTATGGCAATGAAGAACAAATCGATCGCCGGACAGGGTTGAATCGAAACAGGGGAGCGTGAGATTGTTGAGGATCATCGGAATTGGGGAAAAATTTTGAAGAAGAAATGTGAATTATTGCTTGGTTACAGTGTTTTCGTTAATAAAAAATTCAAGGAGGGACGAAGGAAGAAAAGTGCAGAAATAAAATAGAGGGAAAAAAAATGCAGAAGAGATATAGATTGGTTAATTGGGCCATGTATTTACAGATATGGGCTGCTGCTACAGACCCATGGGCTTACGATCTAGTTCAACGAATGGGTCAAACCGTAGTCCTCTTGGCCCATTTACACCTCACATAATTTTCACTCGATTAGCCCCATCTGTCACGTGTTGATTTTCAATTGATCATACTAATCTGAGCAAATCAGCCCCAAATTTTGATTGTTTGCAATCGTAGATAAATGATTTTTTTTTATGTCACACGATAGCCCACTCATTGTTTTCAAAATCAAACTGATGGTCAAACCATTTTGATTTTCAATTTGCAGTTTTGACAATTAAACCAATTTTATCAATTAAAAAATTAAGTTAATTGAATTTTGAAGATATATATTAAATGTAATATAATGTAATTCATGTCAAAGAATTAATAGTGAAACTAGTGATTATGAACACTTATCTATCTTGAGTTTGAGTTTCAAATTGAATTTATGTAGTTTTATTATAATAAATATATCTTAATACATTAAACATTGATACACTTAGTTCAGATCAAGCAAGCAAAAATAATTTTAAGCATATAAGGTAGGCTGCGTTCGAATCCCATAGAAGTCACTTGAGTTTTTATTTTAAAATCTTTATAATATTATTTAAAGTATATTCTTTGCAACTCACTTCACAACGGGCTTGGATGTTTTGGTGGCAAATGACTTGTTAACTTCTTGTGAAGTGTGTGGTGATTGAAATCCAGAGGTGACAAACCAGACTGACTTTAAGTAGTTGAATTCCATAAATGGTTTAGATAGTCATCTCATTTGTTTCTACTACTAGGTCTCTGTCCCATCAATTTAATCAATCAATTCAATCCAAATTTCAAAACAAAACTTGAAAATTCATACTTGATTCGAATTTTCAAAGTAATGGAGCCAACTAGAACTTCATAAAACTTTCCTAGCATGTCACGTGAATAGAACTTAAAAATTCAAGTCTTGATTTGACCAGCTTATTCAGTCAATTTGATCTAATTTTTAAAATAATGAACTCATTTAAAATTTTTTTGACGTATCATGTAAGTAAAACTTAAAAATTCATACTTTCACTTGAATTTTTAAAGCAATGAATCCATCTAAAACTTCATTGACATGTTATGTGAGTAGATTTTGAAAATTAAAGCTTTACTTCTAAGAGATATATATATATATATATAATGAAAAATTAAGATATATTAATATTTTTAATATTAAGATATCTAATAATATTTATAAGATATATATATATATATATAATGAAAAATCAAGATATATTAATATTTTTAATATTAAGATATCTAATAATAGTTATAAAATAAATTTAACAAAATTAAGATTCATATCATGTCTTATACATTTAATAGATATAATTAGATTTTTTAACATTTTTAATATCAAAATGTCAAAACTATCATAATGTCTTATTTTCCCCTTTTTCACATATATATATATATATATATATGTATAATAAGAACATAAATAATCAAAATTTAATTAATATTGTTTATTCACCAACTTCTAAAGTTTACGAAATCCCTTCTGGGTGTTGAAGGAACAGCTGCACCAGTTGACATAAAAGTTGATTGGAAAAAGCATACATTTCATTTAAAAAAATGAGCCTACCTAGAATTTTATTGGCATATTGTCATGTTATATGAGTAGAACTTGAAAATTCATGCTTTACTCAAAGAGATAAATATATATATATGAAAAAAATTAATATATTTTGATATTTGTAATAATATGATGTTTAATAATAGTTACATAATAAATTTAATAAAATTAAAACTCACATTATATTATACATATTTAATAATTATAATTAGATGTCCTAATATTTTTAATATCATTATATAATAAATATAAAGATATATTATTTTTCTTTATATATATATAATAGAGAGATAAATAATCAAATTTTAATTAATATTGTTTATTCACCAACTTCTAAAGTTTATGAAATCCTTTCTTAGTGTTGAAGGAACAGCTGCACCGGTTGACATAAAAATTAATTAGAAAAAACATACCTTTCATTTAAACTAATTGACGTTCCTCTTGTATCTATTAGATATCTTAATAAATAAGAATTTAAATTAGAATTTTAAAGAAAGATGTGAAATTTAGGGAGAAGATAATTATTTCTTAGATGGTTCATTGTGAGACGTAATACAGAAGTTAAAGTAAGGGGTTTATTTTGCAATTTGTATAATTATACCTTCAACATAAGGTTCTGATTTTTCTTTGCTTCGATTTAGTCAAGGTAAAT